GATGCGGGACTCGATCCCGGGACTCCAGGATCATGACCTGAGCCGAAGGCAGTCGCTTAACCAACTGAGCCACCCAGGCGCCCCATGGATCATCTTTTTTTATCTGTTACTGTATTGAAATTGTATTGAATACTTGTTCTGAATCTGTTGATACAATCATATGAATCATCTTTTTTTTTTTTTTTTTAAGATTTTATTTATTTGACAGAGAGAGAGAGAGAGCACAAGTGGGGGAGCAGCAGAGGGAGAGGGAGAAGCAGGCTCCCCACCGAGCAGGGAGCCCGATGCGGGACTCGATCCCGGGACTCCAGGATCATGACCTGAGCCGAAGGCAGCTGCTTAACCAGCTGAGCCACCCAGGCGCCCGAATCATCTTTTTTCATCTGTTACTGTAATAAACCACATTAATCAATTTTATTTTTGTGAAATATAACATGTATAAAAAAGTATACAGAATATACATACAGTTTAACAAATAATTACAAAACAAAAGCTCTTATAACCACCAGCCAGGTCAAAAAAATAAAACATTATCAGCTCTCCAGGAGCTCCTGTGACCTCTGCTAGTTTGGATATTAAATATTCAGTTTTTGTTCTTTTAGAGGGTATTCTGGGAAACATATATATTTAAATTATCAGATCCAAAGTTCATAACTTTACCCTTCTGGATAATACAGGCCCATTGAATGCTTTAACTTTATTTCCTTTTCCCCTACTTAAATTACTGTTGTGTTTTATTTTTTTAACCACAATAGATATCATTATGTATTTAGGTTCATTTCTTTTTACACAGGTATGATACATTTCCTTGCTTTTTGTTTCTTCTCACATTTTAGGCCTTCCCTCTGCCTAGAGTGTGTCATTTAGAATCTCTTTGAGTGAGGATCTGACCGGCACTGAACTCTGTTTTTATCTAACTAATAATGTCTATTTTGCTGCCATTTTTGAAAGATATTTTTGGGAGGTATGGAATTGTAAGCAGGCAGTTGTTTCTTTCAGAACATTCATGATCACTTTCTACTACTGTCTTCTGAATTCCATGGTCATTGAGAAATCAGCTGTTACTTCTTGGAGGGTTTAGTTTTTTCCCCTCAGGCTACTTTTGCAAGCTTTTTGTTTTTAGTGTTCTCCACTTTGACGGTGATTTTATGTCTCACTGATGAGTCATGGTTTTTGGTGGAAAAATATTGGCAAAATATTTTTATATATATATTGGAAAAAAAGATACCAATTCTTTAAAATTTGTTGAGATTTCATTTCTAGCCTACTAAGTACTCAGTCTTTGCAACTGTTAAATGTGCTTGAACATTGAATGTGTATTTTCCCCCCATGTTGTGTGAAGTCACAGTGGTACTTCAGTCAGAAGTAATTAGACTTTACATACTTCCCTCATTTTCCCTTAACCTCTATGAGTTTCTGTTACATTGTAGATAATTTCTTCAAATCTCTCTTCCAGCTCACCAGTTCTCTTTTCAGCTGTGTCTAATCTGTTATTAAACACATCCTTTGGGGTGCCTGGGTGGCTCAGATGGTTAAGAACAAGAATATTCGCTGTTTAATCATAGACAATTTGGTTTTACCTCTGACCAACCAGAGCAAAGGCAGTTTTTTTATGGTCTCCCTTTGGGGGCAGTATTTCCAGTTTATCCGTTTTTGGACAGTGTCACCTTGTGTGGACCCTAGGTTTATCCTCTCTTCCTCCATGTATAACTTCCACCAATACCTCTCACCTCAACCTGCCTGGTCTGTTAACACCCAGAACTTCAAAGTGTGGTCCCCAGACTAACAGCATCACCATCACCATCACCTGGAGATTTATTACAAGTGCAGATTTTTAAGTCCTACCCCAGACTTTCTGAATCAGAAACTCTTGGTGGTAGGGCTTAGCAATTTATATTTAAACAAACTCTCCAGGTAATTCTTAGGCACAGTGCTTTAGGGTAGGAGTGGTAAACTTTTTCTGTAAAGAGCCAGATAGTAAGTATTTTAGGGTTTGCAGGTAGGTTTCTATTGCAGCTACTCAGATGTGCCATTGTAGCCATTGGCAATATGGAAATGAATGGGGGAATGGGTGTGGCTGTGTTCCCATAAAACTTTATTTACAGAAACAGGCAACGGCTGAATTTGGTTGATGGGCCTTAGTTTTCTAACCCCTGCTTTGGGCCATCAGAAAGATGCAGAATCCTTCAAATAGCAGTTTATTTTAGAGCTGTTACTTTTCTGAATTTGTCTTTGTCGTCCTCATTTTTATCCTGGGAGGATTTTTGTTTGTTTGTTTCCAGCATTTAAAGGTGTGTGTGTGTGTGTGTGTGTGTGTGTGTGTGTGTGTCTGATTTTTAAGTGTGCTGTATGGAAAGCTTCCTCAAGTTGTCCAGTCAGAAATGGGAATCTGTTTTTAGCCTGCTTTTTCAGTGAACTTTATATCATACTGCTTTAACATTTTAATTCAAATGGATTCTAACTTACCTGTAATGATGGTCCCCAAGTACCTAGCTTTGAGTAGTATTAAATTACAGGTGATAGAGTTGGAAGTGTTTTCTAGTCTAACTTCTTGTTTCTAGTGAAGCAGAAATTTTTGTTCAGAAAAGTTGGAGACTTGCCCCAAATTGCATAATCATTGTCAGAATCCTCAACCAGAACCAGGGTACTGCTGCAGGATAAGTAGCCTTGTGTCTCTTGCAGTCTTGGTGCATTAAGTTCTAAAGTTAAAAAAGTAAAAAATCTGTATCCCAAATTTTTACCTTTTGTAATTTTTTTCTGATTTTCTACTGTTTCAGGCTGGGATAGAAAATCGTCAGCTGGACACAGTAGATTTCTTTTTGAAAAGCAAAGAAAATCTTTTGAATCCATCCTCAAAATCTTCTGTACCTGATCAGCTTGATGACTTTCCATCTCATTTGTATTTAAGAAGTAAGTAGAAAAAGCTTCTACATTTGTATTTATCATTTTATCTTTTTTTAGTCACTTTCATATTATTGTTGTGCTTTCTGATGACTGACAGACTTGCTCAAACTCAATCATGACATTTTATATACTTTGTGGAATCTTGAGGGAGTTATAAGAATATATAAATGTTCTCATTCTAAGTGGGGTATTTATTGTTCATATCCTGTACTGTGCTTTGTATTTTTAGTATGGAAGGAAGACATGACCTTTTAAATTCAAGAGAATTTTATTCTCTTTAATTGCCCACTCTTGCAACTATCTGAGATATTTAGTGATGGCTGAGTTATGGATTGAGACTTGTTATAAAAATTTTTAGCCTAGGGGTGCCTGGGTGGCTCAGTCAGTTAAGCGTCTGCCTTCAGCTCAGATCATGATCCCAGGGTCCTGGAATCGAGTCTCACTTGGGGCTCCCTGCTCAGCAGGAAGCCTGCTTCTCCCTCTACCTGCCATTCCCCCTGCTTGTGCTCTCTCTCTCTCCCTCTCTCTCTGTCAAATAAATAAAATCTTTAAAAAAATTTTTTTCAGCCTAACTCTTCCACTTTTTTGCTACATTACCAACACTTCTTTTCAAGATTTGGCTTTCCTATGTAATAAACCAGAAACCTAGTTTTTATTCTTGGACCAGGAAGCCATGTGCATCCTCACTTTAGAGGGATAGGGTAATAAAATATGTTTTTCCTTATACATATGGTTTTATTATCTGCTTTTTTTTTTTCACTTGATGATATATTATAGACCTCTCTCTTGTTAATAGATACACTGTTTATTTGTGTTAGCATAGAATTTCATTGTATGGACTATCCCATAATTTACCTAACCATACTCCTATTAGACATTTAGATTGATTCCAACTTTTACTATTGTTGGTAATGTGCTATAAATTCTGTGTGTGTGTGTGTATAATTTCACATGTGTACAATTATTCGGATAAATGTGTAGATGTGAAATTTCCAGGTCAAATAGACACAAAATTTACTTTTTTTTTAAAGATTTTATTTATTTGAGAGCACATGAGCCGGGGGCCCGGGAGGGGGAAAGAATCGCAAGCACACTGTGCTGAGCATGGAGCCTGACTCCAGGCTCGATCTTACAACCCTGAGATCATGACCTGAGCCAAAACCAAGAGTCAGATGTTTAATGACTGAGTCACCCAGGTGCCCCATGATATACATTCTTAAACGCTTTGATAAATCATCCTCCAGAAAAGTTTTATCAACTTGTACTCTAGTTCCATGGAGAAAATGACAATCTCCTTTTTTTCTATCAATGTAGTGTTCTCACACTGTGGATTAGAGATTTTCTTTTTTAAGAACATTCTCTTTCATTTTGGTGCACAGTTTTGTCTCTTTCCTCTTACATTGCTAACTTTTTTTTTTTAATGCTCCAATTTTTTTTTAATGTCTGCTTGAATTTATAGAAAAAAGCTTGGTTTGTGGTAAATGGGATTCCATTAGCAAATGTATGGTCATTATTCACTTCTGTTCAGTCAGTGATTTCTCCTCATTCTATTCTATTCTTATCTGTACTGCTTTGGCCTAAAGGGTGGGGGTGAGTCTGGAAATCAGCCAGGAAATAGCTTACCAGCTCTCTTGGGGTCAAACCCACATTTCCCGCCATTCTCATGGAATTCCGGAGGTGGAGCCAATGCTGAGATAAATGGAAATCCCATTATTAGGGCTTGCAGCTGGTAAATGGAGGATTCAGGAACCCACATTTCCTGTTTTCATCTGCATGTTTAAGAGAATGGTTTTGGAATCAAGACAGGCTGACGTTCAAATTTTGACTTTGCCATTTACTTTCCAGATTAGCTTGGGCAAGTTATTTTAATCCCTCTTAACCTCAGTTTCTTCATCTATGGAAAGGGAGCTACAACATTACCTCTCAGGGGTGTTGAAAATAATAAATGAGATAGCATTTATAAGACACCAAGGCCATTACTTAAGATATAGCATAGGTGGTCAGCAAAATGGTAGTTACTACTAATATCTGTAAATAATGACTAATAGTAAGTAGAATCACTAACGTTCGCAGGTAACACTTCATACGTTTTGTGACCTTTTTGAGAATAAGACATTGGTTCTTGTTTTATGCTTAGCAATATTGCAACATGTCAGAGCAGCCCAAGATGGCCAACTTTGAGAATCGAGGGTCGGATGAGGAGAAGGTACACGTAACCACTAAATTCATCACTCCTGCACCCCCAGGGGAATTTAATGAAGTGTTCAATGATGTCTAGCTACTACTTAGTAATGACATTCTCCTCAGGGAAGGGGCCGCATGTGCATTTGCCCAGTATAACATGGATCAGTTCACACCTATGAAGATCAGGTCTTAATTAGAGAACATGGTGACCTGGGTAATAGATTTTTAGATCCAAGAAACAAAATTTCCTTTGAGTTTGATCACTTAGGAAAGAAGCAAGTGACTCAGAGAACGCAGATGGATCTGAAGTCTTGGAGAGAATCCTGTGACAGTGCTTTAAGGGCCTATGTGAAAAATCATTATTCCAGTGGCTTCTGTATTGTTTATGCTAGAACTATAGATGGGCAACACACCATCACTGCATGTATTGAAAACCACCAGTTTTAGCCTAAAAACTTCTGGAATGGTTGTTGGAGATCAGAGTGGAAGTTCACCATCACACCACCTACAGCTCGGGTGGTCGGAGTACTTGAGATTCAGGTTCATTATTATGAAGATGGCACTGTTCAGTTGGTTAGTCCTAAAGATGTGCAGGATTCAGTAACTGTTTCAAGTGAAGTCCAAACTGCCAAGGAATTTATTAAATCATAGAGCATGCAGAAAATGAGTACCAGACGGCATTTAGTGAAAACTATCAAACAGTGTCATACACCACATTCAAGGCAGCTTCCAGTTACTCGCACCAAAATTGACTGGAACAAGATACGCAGCTACAGGATTGGCAAAGCAATGCAGAATGCTTAAAGGCTGAGTGTAGGATTCTTTGGTATGTGGAAAGAAAGGATTCAAAATGTCATATGATAAATAACTGATTTATAAACAAGAGTGATATTTTGATTGAAAAATTATTCAAGAGGCAGCTGGCTGGCTCAGTTGGTGAAGCATGCGACTCTTGGTCTTGGGGTTGTGAGTTCGAGCCCCACGTTGGGTGTAGAGATTACTTTAAAAAAATTTTTTTAAGATTTTTTAAAAATTTTATTTATTTGAGAGAGAAAGCATGAGCAGGGGTAGGGGCAGAGAGAGTGGGAGGAGTAGACTCCCTGCTGAGCAGGGAGCCCAATGTGGGGCTTGATCCCAGGATCCCAAGATCATGACATGAGCAGAAGGCAGACACCTAACCAACTGAGCCACCCAGGCGCCCCCCCCCAAAAATTTTTTTAAGTGTATTTTGCTAGGGCTTTCAGCATTAACAGGTTTTCTAGCCTTATGGAATACTGTTGAACCTATAACATCGTCTTGATTCTTTTGTGTTCTCTGCCTTGTAATTTTCTGTTTTCACTATATCTACTAGTAAATTTTTTTTTTTTTAATTATGCCACATTTAATGATGGTAAGAGAGATCTTTCCTGGAGTCATTTTACTGTTAAGAAAATATTCCTAGCCATGAAGTCCTGTTACTGATATAGACAGGTAATATGCTCAGTACTTTTCTACCCCTATCCTTTAAAGCACTTATGTGGTACTCCAGTGGTTTTTACTGATCCACCAATAGCTAAAGAGGTTAAGCTACAAATTAGCTGAATGGAAGACACATTCATCCTTCCCCCTCTGACTGCTTTGATTATCATTTATTGCATCTTATAACTGTAGTTTTTAAAAGTTTGGGTTGGGCTTCTCAGGTCCTTTTGTGGGGGCAAAGGAAGTTTTCTGGAAATTCCATTACAGCTTCTCTGCGGAAGTTGTTTTTAAATCCAAAGACTTGAACCACATTCCCTGCACATGAACGTGTTTGCTTTTTTCTCTTCTCTCATTGTCTACTTCCCATCCAGTACCCTTATAGTTATAGACATCTGCACTTTTAGAAGAGTTTTACCCATTTATTATTATTTTTTTATTATTCAAGAACTGTTGACCTACTAGGGATGTAGTAGAGTATAAAACTTGAAAAATGCAGATGTTGAAGGAATAATAGATATCTTGTGCTTTAATACTTTGTGGCAGGATTGTACTATAAGCAGATGAATCAAACAACTACGTAAATCACAAACAAAAACTAAAAATGAACCAGAGTGAAAAAGGATACATTCCAGGCAGGATCTTTCCCTTTGTAACCTGTTATTTAAGGGAATACTAGTGATTTGTTCTAAATAGGATGTAAAACGTGTTCCAAATTACTCTTCCTCAGTCCTGCTTGCCAAAAACTCAAATGTAACTGTGATACAGCAACCCTTCCCAGGTTCATTGGCAGGTATATGTGTGATCTCAGAATACACAGGTGACATAGGTGTGATATGCCACCTGGTAATGGTAGCTTCATTTACATTGTTTATACTTCCATGACCAGACCTTAAGGGAAGGTCAGTATTTAAAAAACCAGGTAGTGTCTTCCTCCCTATCTCCAAATGCATGTCAAAAAAGAAGGGTGTTTGTGCTTCAGCTTTTTTTTTTTTTTAAGATTTTATTTATTTATTTAATTGACAGAGAGAGACAGCGTGAGGGGGAACATAAGCAGGGGGAGTGGGAGAGGGAGAAGCAGGCCTCCCGCTGAGCAGAGAGCCCGATGCGGGGCTTGATCCCAGGACCCCGGGATCATGACCTGAGCTGAAGGCAGTCGCTTAACCAACTGAGCCACCCAGGCGCCCCTTCAGCTTTCTTTTTGCTCGGTAATACAGTTAAGCAAGTTTGTTTCCAAGTGACCCGTTGAGCTGTGTAAGCATTTTTATTTCAAATGAAATGTATTTGTACTATGTGTGTCATTCATACTATCCATTCATACCGCACTATCCTCTCTATCAGGTAGTCCAACGGAAATATACCACTTTTGTTCTTAAAAAAAAAAAAAAAAAAAAGTATTGCCACATGGTATTTTTGGATATGTTAGTTTTATTAGGAGTATACTGATGTTCATGTTAATTTCTTTGGTTCTTTCTTAGATGTGGAAAAGCTGACACCAGCATTGGATTTACTTTGCTCAGCAATTAGAGAAAGTGATTCTGAAACCCATAGCAAACACTTTTCAGAACAGTTGCTTAATCTTACACTGTCTTTTCTTAACAAACAAATAAAAGAGCTTTTTGTTCACAATGAAGGTAAGAATGGCATCAAAGAGGGGTGCGACTGCCCTATTCCTGTGTCAGGACAGACATACAAGTGGTCCTATTGCATGAGAGAGCATGAGCTAGTAGAGTGCTATTTACTAAAGCTGAGAAAAGTCAGTGTATAATTGAGTGACATGGTTCTAATACTGGGAAAGTTGACAGAAAGGACTAATCATTGTGAAAAGGGTTATATTAAATTACAGAGCTACTTGTAAATAGGAAAAAGCTCAGATTTTTTTGTCCGAAATTTAAAAACACTTTAGTGTTTAGAGTTCAAATTTTGGCATTTTCTAGAGTTCTTTTATAATCATAACAGCTATGGTTTATTCCTTCTCTCTAGTTCTTGCTCTGTATGTATATGTATACACACACACATACATTTTTGTATATATGAAATTGGCAAATTGGTCTTTTCTGTAGAACTAGATGAACATCTACAGAAAGGAGTGAACATTTTGACCAGCTACATTAATGAACTTCGAACCTTCATGATAAAGTTTCCTTGGAAGATAATAGATACAGGAGATGAGTATGACGTAAATGAAAATGTTCCCAAAGTAAGAGAGAGCAATATATGGGAGAAACTCAGCGTTGAGGTAAATATGAGCAATTATCACTAATTTTATTTGCCAGATTTAGAGGATCTGAGAAAACAAAACAGAATTTAGAATCTTATATTTGTGATTCAGAATCTTTGGCAAGCGTTTAGGTTTTACCGATTTGGGGATCTCTGAACACGACTTCAGATTTATGTCTACAAGCTTCATTTATTTAGAACACATTTAAGTTCCCTCTTAATGCCAGATCTGCCCACTTGGATCTGGTGACAGGCACCCACCCCCAAACCAATGTGGGGTGGCATACTCTTAACACTTCCTCAATGGGTAGGGCCTGGCACTTTGCACTTAAGCATTCTGTCTGACCTATGGATAAATCAAATTACTGCTGATGGTTTGATCTTAGGAAACTTTGATTTTATGCCATTATGTCTTAGAAGTATACTGGATTTGAGTCCTCAGATTCTAGTTAAGATACCTTGCCAGTTAAATTTTCTGTGCTCACCTGCTTGCTTTTCTTTTTATGATAGAAGTAGTACAACCAAACCTTGTTGCCCTCTTTATGACTGGGGCCTAGAAGAATCCCTCCACCCACATGGAGAGTATTGGCTTTAGAAAGACAAAGACCAAAATAGCTTAACCCAGATGATAAGACTCAGTAGGGAGTGAAAGGGATAAGTTTGACATCCTGGCGAGTTCACAGGACCACTGGTCTTGGAGTGGAGGAATGGGGAAGTACCTGGCGTGACTGCAGTTTCTGTATCTCATTCTCAAGCCAAAAAATTACTTGATTTTCCCCTCTCCTTTTTTTGGCTTCTCTTTCCAGTCTCCTTTGCAGGTTTCACTTCCTGTTTTCCCTCTTTAATGTGCTTCGGGGTGCCATTCATGGTCCTCTGGTCTTTTTACTCAAAATAATTGATTTTTACTTTTTGGGAGGTTGTAGTCTACTTTGATGAAAGCTGTGAACTCTTGTCTCCAAACACATGCTTGTGAATGTGCGCATGTACACATACATACAGTTTTGCACATGGCTTCATGGGATTTACGGACCCCTCAAAAGCCCCAGGTTAAGAATGTCCCTTTTCTGTTCTCTCTTGAGTATTGGTCTTAAGTACAGGTCTTTATTTCTTCTTACTAGTATAGTAACCTAATGCCTTACTGTCTTGAGCTTGAATCTCTTTCAGTCCATTCTCCACATTGCTGCCTGCATATTCTTCCTAAAATATATATCTGATTATATCACCTTTTGCTTTTAAAATCCTTCAGTGTCTCCACATAAGTTTTAGGATAAATCCCATCCCCCATGTATAACACCCTGCATTATGGAACCTCTGCTTTTCTTTCAGGTCTCATCTGCTACTCTGTCCAACTTTTTCTCCAGTTAAATTGAGTAATTTGGAGGTTCCTAAAGACTGATACTGTTTCTTGCCTTTATGCCTTTGTACATAGTCCCTCTCTGTCTTTTTTTTTTTTTTTTTTTAAGATTTTATTTATTTGAGAGCACATGCACGCGTGAGTCAAAGCAGGGGAGAGGGGTATGGGGAGAGGAGCAGACTTCCCACTGAGCAGGGAGCCCAGGACACTAAGATCATAACCTGAGCCAAAGGCAGATACCCAATTGACAGCCATTCAGGCGCCCCCATAGTCCCTCTTTTTGGAACACTTGTCCTCTTTCCTCAGTATATGTATATAACATTTGCCTTTTAAACTTCACCTCATAAGTCTTCTCTACTAGGAAGCCTTTTCTTTTTGTTACTCCTTTTATTTAGATGCTCTTTTTCTGGATCCTCCTGCCTAGCACCTTGGGATACTGTTATTTAAGGGAACACTAGTGATTTGTTCTAAATAGGATGTAAAATAGGATATCATTGCCTCTATCATATAGGACTGTACTCGATACTTTGTGTATTTTCCACTAGTCTAAAAGCAGGGTCTGTGTTTTGGTCAATTTCATCTCCCCTGTGCAAATCCAGCAGCAGATTTTCAATAAAAGTCCATTAGGTGCTCAATAAATATATAAGTCCTATGTTACAATAAGGAAATGAAAAGGAACTTAAAAGGCAAATAGTTTTCTCTTTTTCCTAGGAAGTTATTGCCAATGCTATTTTAAACAACAAAATACCAGAGGCACAGACTTTCTTCAGGATTAGCAATCATTCTGCTCAAAGACTTGAGGAGCTGATTAGAATAGGCCTAAATTTGGTCTTTGACAACTTGAAAAAGAACAATATAAAGGAAGCCTCTGAACTTTTGAAGAACATGGTGAGTTGCATAATCTGTCTGATCTTAAAGTCTCTAATGTAAGAAAAGATCTCTATATTTAATACAATTTCTGGTTGATAGAAAAATTGATTTATATTCATAGTTATGTCACAGACTAAGAAATTTATATAGGTTGTACAGGGAAATAATAATAGAAATGTTCTTCATTACTGAGAACTTTTTTGAAGAGATTTTTTTGAGTTTCCATCATTTGCTCTGTTACACTTCACACTTTGGTTGAAGGAGACGGTGCTTCTCCTAGAAGACTTCACATGTCAAAGCATGCCTCATTTTTAGGGGGACATTCTGGGTTGTTCGTGCAACCCCTTATGTCTCCATTTGAGCTTTCTAGTAGCTTATACCTTTGCTTTGTGCTCCGTGGTTTTACTTAATTTGAGAAGGGGAAGGCCCAGAGGTAGGCCTCCTGGAACTAAGCTGAGGACCTGGCCCTAATCTGCATGGTTGGGGTCTTGCCCATGGTAATTTTCTGGAGGTATAGAGGAGTGAAACTGTGTAAGGGTTGCAATTTGCATTGACTTTTGTTTTCAGGTGAATCATTATAGCAGATACCTGTAGTTTTGATCATATGGTAGCCTAGCATTACCTTAGATTGTTCTATGTGCTGCCTTTGTTCTGGCAAAATCACTAAGGACTTTAGGGATAGGCAGTATGTATGTGTGATAAATACAGAGAATGAACGTTCACAAGAGCAGAAAAGCTGTAGAATTCTAACAGGATACATGTCTGTAATGGAGTACTTCTTTACCCAACATATATTTATGGTTAAAATAGCCCTGTTACAAAATGTAAAGGTTTTGAAAATTTTCTCTGTTTACTGTAGGGCTTTGATGTAAAAGACCAGTTGCTCAAGATATGCTTCTATACAACTGATACAAATATACGGGACTTTTTGGTAGGTAAAGGTGAGGCTATGTAGTTTACATCTTCTAGTAAACCTTGGTGAAACTCCAAAATGAATTATTTTAATATTCAACTACTATCTAGTAAGTAAAAGTATGAGAACTCCTTTGTATTTTTTAATGATTGTTTTGCATTTGTGGTAAAAGAAAATTTGTGTGAATTCATATATACCTCAAAAATTCAAAATACAATTCTTAAATGACATTTAATCTCATGACATTTGTTTTGCAATTGTGCTTGATTTTTGTGAGATCACTGGTTAATTATTTTTTATTCAAGGTTGAAATTTTAAAAGAAAAAAATTATTTTTCTGAAAATGAAAAAAGAACTATAGACTTCGTGCATCAAGTTGAGAAGTTTTATTCAGGACATTTCCAAGAAAATATGCAGATCCAGTCCTTTGCCAGGTAGTCTCACTAGCCCACTTTTGATAACATGGAAAAAATACTGTGGACAGTGTTTAGTTTATAATTGTTAGTACAGATTTTTTTTTTTATGTGGAACTGAGCTTACATTCTCTATGAAGATAAAACTTATATCATCCAGAGAGGACTCAGGAATTTCCTGTCATTTCCATATGTGTATAATCACATACATATTTTTAAGATAACAAATACAAAAATGAGAGTAGTGAATTATGTGTTCGCTAAAAGAGTAGAAGTTCATGAACAGATAAAAAAGAATGATGCTTTTCCGTCCAAAATTAAAAACATTTATATCACTGTTGTAGGTATTGGATAAAGGAACGGGATTTTTTCAAGCACAAATCTGTTTTGGACTCACTCCTGAAATATGATCCTAAAGATAAATTTAACAAACAGGACCATAGAGTTGTGTTAAATTGGGCTCAATGGTGGACTCAACTAACACAAGAATCCATCCTTCTCCCCAGGATAAGTCCAGAAGGCAAGTGTGAAAGAACCTAAAATCTAACATATTGAATGAGGATTAAATTAGGCATTGGTATTTGAATAGTTCCATGAGTCTCCATTTTAGAACTCCTTTTGGAGGAAACATAGTTGCTTTAAAATGCAAGTCATTGCATTAAGACCTCTTTCTTATCTCAAGAGTTTTGTAAGGGATTTCTAATGTGATACTGGACGAGAAAAGCCATATGATTCAGTGAATTGAGATTTCAAGGCTAAGAATTCTCTTCCCAGCCTCAAAGTGACAAAATCTTTGTTTTTCCAAATAGTCTTCATGTTTCTTCTTGTGTACCAAGGATCTATATCACACCAGGCTCTGGGGAACAAACAGTGGTAATTCATAGAAGGTTAAAGTTTTTATTTATATTAAGGAGAAGAAAAGGGAAGAAGAGGCCTGAAAAGATAAGTGAAATACACAGCTAATTTCCAAGTTTCGTTTAACCACTGTAGTAATGAGAACAACATTTAGCTCTTCCTGCAGCTGACGTATTATGAAATGAGCACTAAAGAGGAAAATAGTAAAATAAGCAGAGGGCCTGAATAATTCATATGTTACATAAATATTTGTGCAGATCATCATATCTATTCAGTTAATTATTGTTGAGTTTTGTGTCAATAATCATAATTCATTGCTATTTTAAAATGTAATTTATTCTTTTTTTTTTTAATGTTATTTTCTTCTTAATGCAGAATACAAATCGTATTCTCCTGAAGCCCTCTGGAGCTATGTCACAGCTCGCCATGACTGGTCAAGCATTATCTTGTGGATTGGAGAATTTCAGACTCAGAACAGTTGTGCTTCGCTTGAGCAGAACAGATGGCCCCTTCTGACTGTTGATGTTATCGATCGGCATACTTGCTGCAACAGCTACATGAGGAATGAAATTTTAGATCAGCTGGCCAGGTATTGTCACTGTGGGGATGAACACAAGGAAGGGCAATAAAAAATAATGGTGTAATTTTTGCTCGGAAATGCCATAAATCCAATGCAACATCATTTCGTAGTATTCAGAACTGTAAGGGTGTTACCATCCATTGAGGTTTTAAAATCACATGCATTTAATATCATGTGGTAGTGAATAGGCTCTCAAATTGTAGATGAAGGTTTTCCTCAAATCATTAAATGTGCTTTGGTGTAGAAATGGTCGGCTGTCAGTGCAGCGACAAGGACTAAGTGGCAAGAGCTGAGATGAGGATACCTTAGTGTCGAGTAACGTCTGCCACTCTTCTCCCGGCTGTATGCTCCATGTGGGTTGAACTAAAGAGAACTGCTCAGTTAAGAAATTAGTGAGGGGAAGTAGCTCTTGAAGTGATGGAGACTTTAAAATTTTAATTCATTGCTAAAAATAATTCTGTTAGATTGAACCGTGCGAACTTGCCATATGTGTGGGTCAAAAATGATTGAATATCAGCACATCTCATACAGCTACACCTAATCTGTCTTCCCAAGCTATAAAAATAATATAAGGAGACAATAACATGTATGTTAATTTTTAAGTTTCGTAAAGCTATTCCCCGTGTATTTATTTTATTGTATATTTATACTTATTGGGGAGGTATAGCTGTATTGCCCTACCCATCCTGAAGATGTGGAGAGTGAGATCTAGAGAAGAGCTTTGCCTAAGCCAGTTACTTTCAGACTTCAGTTCTTTTACCCCTGGCTTTCTATTCGCTGTTCTTTCCACTGCACTAAATCCTCTTCTTGTTTACCAAAAGTAAAATTACGTATAACTTGAATGCCTATCAAATATGTAGCTTAGTATTTGATTGCTTAAAAAGCTAGTATATGTATGACTTAACATGAATTATGACATTAATGAATTGAGATCTATAGCAACAGATTAAAGGGAAAAAAATCCCTGCTAGGTACAGAAAAGCATTTGATAAAATTCAGCATCAATTAATAATAAAAGGTACATATTAGCAAACTAAGAATAGACAAATTTCCTTAACTTGAAAGAGGTATCTAAAAAAATCTTCTAGCTAACAATATGCTTGATGGTGAAACATCACAAACATTCTCTTTGGATGTGGAGCAAGACAAGCCTGTCGTGGATTCCGAAGTTGGTCGTTAGAATAATGCCATCTCAATAAAAATCCCAGCAGGTTTTCTTGTGGATTTTGACAAGGTGATTATAAGTATTTATATGAAAATGGAGAGGGTCAAGAATAGCCCTGAAAAAGAACTTGCCCTACCAGATATAAAACCTTATTCTGTTTATTTTTAATGAGCATAGAAACAAACTTCTGCATGTCTGCTCACTTTATATATGACAAAGGTGGCGCTGCACAGTGGGCAAAGAACAGTTTTTCGACAAAGGGGGTTGGGATAACTGGATAGCTATGTTGGGGGGGGAATTAAATTGGACTTTCTGCCTTCTATCATGTATACAATCAATTCCAAGTAGAAAATCTAAATGACCAATGTGAAACTATAAAGCTTTTAGAAGATGTAGAAGAATATCTTCATGACCCTGGGACTAGGGTATGCTTTCTAAACGCCTAGAGGGGTAAAGGAAGAGAATAGTTACCGAGACCTAGAGAACTGCCTGGCATAAGTTGTGTTCCCTAGTGGAGAGTGTCAGCCAACGTGCAGTCATCCAGCACAGAGAGAGCCAAGGTATCCCCATCCTCTCTTTTTTCTGACTCTTATCATCTGATGGTGATTTCCCATAGGGTGAACCAAAGTAGAAGCCTGAGGATACTACAGTCTTCTGTCCAGGTGATCCTCCAGGGATAGAGAGCAGGAGAAGAGTAGAGCTTGGATCTGGAGGGGAAAGATATCGGAGCACATAGGCATTTCACAAAAGAGGAAGCACAAATGGAAATGGAAATTTGGTTTACCAAAAATCTAGGAGCACCTGTAATGACCATCAAACGTAGAGAGTGGATAAATAAAATGTATTATAATCACACAGTGGAATATTATGTAACAATGAAAAGGACCAAACTGTAGTTGCAGGTATCAACATGGATAAATCACACAATGTTGAATATAAGAAATAAGACTAAGAACAATATATCCAGAATGTACCATTTATATATAAAGTTTAAAATAGGCAACACCCTACCATATATTATTTGGGGTTGCATATATGAGTGGGTAAAACTATGAATAAAAGTAGGGAATGGTTATTAAAATCAGGATAGTGGTTAGCTCTGGGTAGCAAAGGACATGCAGTGGGGGAGGAATACACCAAGGGCTTCCAGATATAATATTCTATTATCTGGGTAATGGTTACATAGTGTTTCTTTAAATGCCACATTATATGCGTTCTATACTCCTTTGGTACATATACTTAACAGTAAATTTGTAAAAAGAATATTTAAATGCAAATTTCTATTCTTGTTTAGTAGTTGGTCTAGTTAAATTATTCTGCTTTAGTTTTTTGGTTTTTTTTTTTTATAACAATTTTGTTAGGCTATTTTGGAAATTTCGGTGGTTAAAGCCTCTAGCTTCAAGAGCTAACCACTGTTGCCAAAGTGGATTGTATAGTACCAGTCAAAACCACAAAAAAAAAAAAAAAAAAAAAAAGGAGATAGATTAGGTTTTTGAAATATTTAAGATAACTCTAGACTGTCATTACTACCTTTAAATATTAAAATGGTGCATGAACCTTCATCAGAAACTAGCAAAATATAGTCAGAACATCGTTATAGAGTGAGACTTGGCAGTCTTAATTTGTAAATCCTTAGTTTTAAGTAGTTGAGACTTCAGCAATGGAAGTGGTTTGGTCTGCTCTGAATCTGGCAACTTTGTAACTTGCCATCTCTGAAACCTGCTCAACAGGAATGGGATTTTTCTTAAGTCTGAACTAGAAGACTTTGAACTCTTCCTGCTAAGACTGAACCGCATTGGGGGTGTGATGCAAGATGCTCTCCCCATTCAAAACTACAGATCCAAAGAAGGTTGGGATTTCCATTCTCACTTCATTCTCTATTGTTTGGAACACGGTCTGCAGTATCTTCTCTATGTCTATCTTGACTGTTACAAGTGAGTACTGAGAACTGATTTGTCTTTGAGCAGGTCTTCACGTTTCCTCTTTCCATACTACTTCTGAACATGACTTTTAGGAAAATACTAAACATTCACTTGAAGAATGCTGGTCTTTTTGCTGTAGCTCCCCACCTCCCTTGCCAGCTCCACCACTTGGTACCTTAGTTCAATGCTGCATTCAACTAAATGCTTATCATGTGTTTTTGGTGATGTTAATCCTGTAACATCTCTGTTAACCTTTTAAATAACTAGAGAGAATAAAATGAAAGAAATGCTATAGAAGTTTAAAAGAGGGGAAAATTCTAAAAGTTAACTTGGAGTTCTTTGGTACCTTCATTCCCAGACAAATGAATGTTAAACAATTTTGAATTCATAACCACTGCAAGGTATGTTAGATATGCTCTACAATTTATATTTAGATAGGTGAATATACATCAGTACGTACCTGCCCAAGATCAACCTGCAGAATCATATGTGGCCACTGTGAATTACTGTTGGGTCAGTAATACAAAGAATTGTAGTCTCTAATATATGAGTATGCAGTGTTCTTGGCACTAGGGTAAGTGCTTGATGTGCACTGATTCATCTCATATTCCCAAAAGTCCTATGAGGTGGTTACTCCCATTCCATAGGTGAGGGAACTGGAGTGTTGAGAGAGACTATGTGCCTTAAAGTGCACAGTTCTAGTAAATGGCACAGCCAGATTTAATTCTGCTTAGGTTTTATTGCAGAGCCTACACTTAATGTGCTAATGAGAACATTTTTATTTTATTTTGTGTATTAAAGACTAGGAATTCAAACAGATGATGTTTTTCCGGTTCATACCATTGAGGCTTATTTAGACACAGGAATTTTTTCCCCAAAGCTACTGGCAAGAGAAGATGTAAAAGTCATATTCAGAGGATGTATTCTGAGACTGAATTCCTCAGTCCTAGCTTCTCTGTAGTGTGTAAAACTTTTCAAAAACCTCTGAAGTTTGAAAATGCTAAAGAGTTTTTGATGTTTAAAAAAAAATACAGTAGGGGGTACCTGGGTGGCTCAATCGGTTAAGCGTCTGCCTTCGGCTCAGGTCATGATCTCAGGGCCCTGGGATCAAGCCCCACGTCGGGCACCCTGCTCAGCGGGGAGTCTGCTTCTCCCTCTGCCCCTCCCCTCACTCATTCTCTCTCTCTCTCTCAAATAAATTAAAAAAAAAATACAATAAAATATAAAGTATCTGAAAGGACAAGGTGTATGTTAATCTTATAGGGTTGGTAAAATTTCATCATGGAAGTAAAGACATTATAAATAAAATTATCTGTCTCTGAATTCTTCTCTATTTCCAGATCATATGGAATATATAAAGCACAGCACAAGGAGTATATAATGTTATATTTACTTTTAATTCCAAAGTTCCTTTTTTAAAGCTCATTATCATTTGAGCAAACATGGTTATAATTGTCTTATCCTGTATGTTAACCAGAATTTGTTCTTTTGTTTTATATACAGACTTAGTCCTTCAAATTGTCCCTTTTTGGAAAAAAAAGAACTACATGAAGCTTACCCTTGGTTTGAATTTTTAGTTCAGTGTCGACAAGTTTCCAGTAATTTAACAGGTATGGGTGTACTGTATTAAAATACAAAAATTTCTTTGGCTACGGGCACCTGGGTGGCACAGTCAGTTAAGCGTCGGACTCTTCGTTTCTGCTCAGGTCATGAACTCAGGGTCTAGAGATCGAGCCCCCTGTCAGGCTCTGCACTCAGCAACAGTGTCTGCTTGAGATTCTTTCTTCCTCTCCCTCTGCCCTTCCCACTCTGCTCTCTCTTTAAAATAAATCAAATCTTTTTTTAAAAATTCTAATTTTTTTTTTTTGCTAAATAACTGGTCTGTTGAATGGCATTTAATTGGTGAGTTCTAAATAAATCACTTGGCTCTAGACAAATATCTGACTATAACCTAGGCTCAAGTTTTATTTAAGAAGCAGAAGACCAAAAATGTTTCCCTCTCTCCAGCCAAGAAAAGCCAGATGGCATGTGTGCGTGTGTGCCCTTCCCCCTCAGCCTCATGCTTGGTTGTCTTTGGATATCTCTCATCTCACCAGTTTATCACAGGCTGAATTCCTGCTGTCTGGTAGATGGACACCCTTTTTCTGTGAAGAAGTGGTCTGTCTTCCAGGTGCCTGCCCTGAATCATTTAGTAAGCAACTCCATATGGAAGAGGAAAAATGTCCACAGTGCGTGTGGGATTGTTGTGGCTTCTGTAGTAGAGCTCCTGAAGGAGAGTTTGGCTCCGGTTCAAATCAGAAGAGCCCTGGGACACCCACCCCCCCGCCGCCCACTTGAGGGATTAGCTGGTGTTATTCCAGAGATTCTCTCCAGAAAGGGGCCAGGCAGAGCCACTATAGAGGCAAGAAATATCAACAGCCAATCTTTTATGGAATTCCTGTTTTTTTTCCAAATAAAAAACTTTTTCATAATGTGGATTGGGTTTTTTTGTTATGTTTTATTTTGGTTTTTTTTGATGCTGATTATAAAATAATACATGTTCATTATAAAGAAAAATTGGAAGCCACAGACAACTATCTAGAAGATAAAACTCCACAGGCAGATAGCCTAGGTAGATAATCATCCACAGGCAACTCTTGATATATTTTAATGTATTTTGTTCTAGGTACTTTCTCTATACTTTTTTTTTAGCCTGGTCTATATTATATTTCATTCATCCAACAAATATTTATTAAGCTCCCACATTGTGACAGTCTCTAAGTACTAGGGATACAACTAGAAATATCTATGTATTTATATATTGCTTTTTTCATATAGTAATTATAAGAATTTTCCTGTGTTCTTAGAGACAATGACTATTTTATGTCTACATAATATTTCATCATATGGATGTACTGTTAACTAATATACTGTTCTCTCATCTTTTGACACTGAGGCTATTCTCAGTTTTTTTCTATCATAAATAACAGTCTTGTGTATATTTGAATATAAAATTTTTGTCTTTGTTTCAGATTATTTCCTTAGTACAGATAGATTCCTGGATATGAAATTACTGGATCAAAGGTTATATACATTTTGAAGGTTCTTGCTATAAGGCCAGATTGCTTTTCAGGGGAATTAGAGCATTTTATCCATAAGTCCCAACTTCTTTGTGCCCTGACCAGCTGTGTGCTTGAGGATGATTATTTTTGTTGATAAGGAATATACGGCATCTGATTATTATTTTATTTTGCATTTCTTTATTGCTAATGAACTACATATTTTCATATGTCAAACATTTATATTTCCTCCTTTGTAAATGGTTATTTGTCTCCTTATCTGTTAGAGTCAGTATTTTGGGCATTGATTTGTATGAACTCTTTGCTGAAGACATTAATCCTTAGGTTGTCATTTGCTGTTAATTTGTTGTTAAAATTTCCCCCCTAGTTTATTACCTTTCAATTTTCTTCTGTTTGTCCGTTTCAACACTTGTTTGTCTCAATTGTCTGAATAGAAGTTTTTACTTTATGTGGACAAATCTTTCATTTTTTTCCCTTTATGATGTTTTCCAGTTGCTTTTCATCTTAGAAAGTACCTCTTACTGTGGATAGAGTTAAAAATTTTCTTCCTCAGAATTATGTAATTCTTTCTCTTAAGGAGAAAAACCTACTCTTTTATTTTTCAGATCCCAAACTGATCTTCCAGGCTAGCCTTGCAAATGCTCAGATACTGATTCCCAGCAACCAGGCCAGTATAAGCAGTATGCTATTGGAAGGACATACCCTCCTGGCCCTTGCTACGACAATGTATGCCCCTGGGGGTGTCAGCCAGGTATGGGTAGCACTTTTACCTATTATGGTAAAATAGGACTGATTGTAAATTTAGTGGAAATATCCGTGGATTTTCTAGACTCCTTTGATATTCACATACAACCACTTACATAAGTATTTCATTTTATTCAAGGGCATAAAACAAGGATGAAGTTTTAAATTTTGTACTATATTCACTTAAGTTGGAAGGGAACTAATATGTGGTATAGAGATTTTTTTTTTTACCTTTGTTTTCTAAACTTCAGGTTTGTTTTCAGGATAGAATCAGGATCTGATTGCTCCTGGGAGTAACTATACTTTAGATGTGTGGCTTGGGAATTAATAGGCAAAAAGGAAATCATAATTTTTAGCTATCCATATAAACTCTTCTGAGGGACCCAGTGGAAACTTGCCCATCTCTGCTTTTTTGAAAGTACATAGTATGCCTCATTACAGGAAACTGAAGAATGCAGTTTAATAAAAATCTTTAAAAGCTTCTTACTGATAATAATATAATACCACCTCTTCCAGATTATTGCAATATATTTTAATTGATATGGTTATCTATGCCTCTGTTTTTAATCACCTGTCAGAAATTAGTCTTAGAATAACTTGAGAACTGAGGGAGAAGGACCTAGGTAGGAGTCATCTAGTCTAGTAGTTTTTTTCCCTTTAAAGACATTTACTTACTATTTAAATATTTTAAATACTTCAGTAGCAGAGACTTTTTTCAAACAATATTTTCACATGTAGTTTGAAAACCACTGATCTAGTTGAACCTCCTAATTTTATAGGAAACTGAGGCCTGCTGTTAAATATCTGGCCCAAGGTCACCAGCTAGTTTTTCTTAGAACCAGAACTAAAACTATTGGCTTGTGACTCCTTGACCAGTGTTTTCTTCACTACCATGTAGTTTTTCAAGCTAATCTTGTTTCACTCTTGTGAAAAAAAGACTTAAATTTGGAGAAGAGAAAAACCTTACTCTGTATCATGTGATCTTTTTATTTAGGTTGTTCAGAATGATGAAAATGAGACCTGTTTGAAGAAAGTAGATCCCCAGTTACTGAAGATGGCATTAACTCCTTATCCCAAGCTAAAAACTGCTCTCTTCCCACAATACACTGCCTCTAATGTCCTGCCACCCGATATTACGCTTTACCACCTTATTCAGGTACGGTATTGAGGAGTGTCAGTCAGGGGTCAGCCAGGAAAACTGAAACGCCCTCTGGGTCTGTAGCATGGAGGACATTTTAACATAGGTAATTACTTACACAGTCATAGCAGAATGGGGAATCCAAACATGTGATGGTGAGACAAGTCAAAAACTGACAAGGAAGCCACCAACACCCCTAACGCTGCAAGAACGGTGCAAGAAAGTAGTGTTAGCAGAACCCAGAGGCCGGGCCCGTCCCTGGGAACAACTGAACTCACAGCCAGGCTGCCTGTTCCCCTGAGCGGGGAACGTGGAGGGTAGAGCTGGAACCTTGGAGGAGATACCCCAGAAAACAAAGGAGGAGGAAAATATCCTGGTTTCTTCCCTCTTCCCACCTTTAATCTCCCATGTTGTCTCTCTTGGCAAAACCTGTCTGGTAGCCAAAGGGCAGAGGCGCTTGGGAAATGCAGTTCTCTGCAGAACAGGAGAGAAAGGTGGGAATGGATCTGAGCAGACGGACAGTTGGCCAGCTTGCTTGTCTGCTGCCTTCCTCAAAAGCCACTTCATTCTACTCCTGATAACTTCTCTCTCTCTCCTCAATGATTAGGGCTGTTTGTTTATTTAAATCAGTGCTTCTTAACCTTTTTCAGGACAGAGATCTCTTTAAGAATATGAGCAAGTTAGGAGTCTTCTACCCAGAAAAACTGCACATACGTGTTTAATTTTGCTTCTATTTCAGAGGAATTCAGGTTCCCTGAAACCTACTCAGATCCTCCATGATGAACACATTCTTTTGTTCATTTCTCGTCTCAAAGGGCTTTTGCTTTTTTTCTCTGGGTGCACATATTCCCACAGTGTCCTTAAATTCAACATAAGCTCTATAATCTATAAAGGTACAAAATCTCTCTAATGTGTACAGTCCTTAATTTATAGAGTAGTCCTACTCAGAAATGTGGTCCCTAGATGGCTGCCAGGCTATGAACGGCTTGTTGGTGGTATGTGATGACATTAAGATCTTGGACTATTCTATAAATCTGTGTCATGTTCAGTTCAGCAGGCTTTCTGTGTGTGTGTGTGTGTGTGTGTGTGAGTGAGAGAGAGAGAGAGAGAGAGAATTTAGCAAGACACTTTGGAAGCAGGAAGTAGTTAGCTGCATTTAAATTTATCGCAAGTTTCTCATCTCATTGCAGATCAGTAGCACCGCTGTAAACTATGTATAAGTGGATTGTACAAAAACATAGTTTTACTACCTATTCAATCAGCCTAAAACATAAGTGATTTCAGGTTGTTCTTTGTTCTGTTTTCAAGTTGACTCATGCAGTTTTAGTCCTGTTACTTTACGAAAAGTAGTCCTTCCTTAATAGACCATAAATTCTCCCATGATTTTTTTTTTTTTAAAGATTTTATTTATTTATTTGACAGAGAGAGACACAGCGAGAGAGGGAACACAAGCAGGGGGAGTGGGAGAGGGAGAAGCAGGCTCCCCGCAGAGCAGGGAGCCCGATGCGGGGCTCGATCCCAGGACCCTGGGATCATGACCTGAGCTGAAGGCAGTTGCTCAACCGACTGAGCCACCCAGGCGCCCAAATTCTCCCATGATTTTAAATCAAAGCTGCACTTTCCTTAGCCACCCAAATCGTGACTTAAAGGTTTTTAAAATTTTCTCCTTTATCTTTCCTACCACGTGTTTATAGTCTTTGCTACATCTTTGGCCTAGACAAATTTCAAACAGCCATGGCTCCCTGCTTTCAAACCTTTTCTGACTGGCTTAAGCTTACTCCACTCTTTTCTTTTTTGGCGGTGGTGATTTGTTCATCACATTCCTCTAACCTTTGATCTACTTGTCTCCCTATTCCCTTTCTGGACCAGCCTTAGCTCACCTTGTCCTGTTTACATGGTACCATTATCTAGCCTCTTAGTCCTCTTGGGTTTGGATTCCAAAAGCATTTCAAAAGTCCATGTTACATTATAATTGATGATGCTTCAACCAAAAGAGAGTGTACTTTGCAGTGAGTTTGAAGTGAGAAGAGTCTTTATTTTTTTTAAAGATTTTATTTTATTTATTTGACAGAGAGACAGCAAGAGAGGGAACACAAGCAGGGGGAGTGGGAGAGGGAGAAGCAGGCTTCCCATGGAGCAGGGAGCCTGACGCAGGGCTCGATCCCAGGACCCCGGGATCATGACCTGAGTGGAAGGCAGACGCTTAACAACTGAGCCACCCAGGCGCCCCAAGAAAAGTCTTTAAAAGGAACATAGCTGGCTCTATTTTTATTAACATAGGAAAGTGTCTCATGCATTCTTTTTCTTTTTAAGCTGCGCTCGGAATTTAAGTCCAGAAAGATAAGGTTGGAGAAGGGAAGCGGACACTTGTGAAGTCTTTTCATATAACTTTGTTTACTTACTTTAGAATCACTTAACTTTTAACTCTGACTTTTCCGCTTTTTCAGTCACTGTTGCCCTTTGACCCTAGCAGATTGTTTGGCTGGCAGTCTGCCAACACACTGGCTGTAGGAGGTAAGTCATTCCAGGTACCTAGGGCTTTAGAAGTATTTCAGCAGTGTTGACGGTAGAAGTTAATTTATGTAAAGCCAATCCAGTTTTTTTCACTGCTTTCCATTTCAAAAATGAAGATGCATTCCAATGGAAAACATTTTCTAGGAGACTGAATTGAAAACGTGTTGTGAGTTAAAAGTAATTATAGTACGTCACTAGTGCTATTCTTGCTGGGAAATGTAAGCTGTACCTATCTGCTTAAATTTCTCCCTTTCCCCAAATCCCTGTTTGTTTGCAGTATAGTATTAATAAAGGTTAAGAGCATAGCTGTAGGCCTTAGACAAATCCTGGCCCGACCATGAAATAGCTGTATGACCTTGGGTAAGTGATTTACCCTCTCTTCAATTTCCTATAAAATAAGGTTAATAACAGTGCCCACCTCACATATTACCTGAGAATGAAAGGAGACAAGGCATTTAAAAAGCTCTTGCAGTTCCTGGAACATGGTGAGCACCAGACGCATACACACTGCTGTTCTCTTTAGGCCATAAGCCTTTCTCTGATTTTTTTTTTTTAAATGCCATTCTTAAACTCTACTTTTTTTACTTTTAAATTTAGAGTTAGCCTTTAATAGCCTGGTACCTGCGGTGCCTCTGCTGTGAAATTACTCTGAAGTAGGCTTCAGATGAGCACTTAGCATGTATACGCTGTAAATATTTACTGACGTGCATAAAAATGAATTTTCTAATGTGTCGGTTTTGTAAGTCCAAATTTCAATAGATCTAATTTACCTAGTGCCCAAGGCTCAGTGCAAGTTCCCAGCCTATAGTAGATGTTCAATAAATATTCGTTGAGGGCTGAATAAAGTAGTACGTATTGCATTTTCAAGTGAAAATACTCTAATTAATCTCTGGGAACTTACTACTAGAGTGTAGACCGAATCCCCTGCCCTGTTTTAATGCCTCCAACTCCAACACTTAGCTAGAGTCCTGACCCCTTTGTGGAAAATGAGCACTGTACTAGGTACATGAGGGGAACAGAGAGGAAGTTGAAGATGTATTCCCTGCCTGGTGTTAAGAAGTTTAAAACATATTTGAGGAAATAAAGCACAAAGTAAATGAAACAATTATGAAAACATAATGTGGATTTATAAAATTGGAGAATTGGCTTTAATTAGAATATTTGCTTCTTTTTTCATATGATCTTACCATTGAAAAGAGATGTAGGGTGACTGTGAGGTGACTTGGCTTCTGTGACAGACAGGAGAAAAATTTCCCTTTGTGTAGAATTTTCTCTTATACGTGCTCTCCGTACTAGCCCCCAGCTGCTAAAAAATCAGGGTCTTACTTGGATTAAAAACTCAAGTTAGCTCATTTGGCGCCAGACAGTGCTATATACATGTACTCAGCAAATATTTAATGAATGAATGAACAGTTTTATATGTAATAAGTTACCAAAGTCACTGTGATCTCACAAAGAATATAGATAAGGCATGTGACAATTTTTTTTTAGCCTCAAAGGGGGTGTACTTTTAAGTAATAGCTTGGAAAGTTGACAGATGCCTCTCAACTCTTTGTCTTTTTTTTTTTTTTTAAAGAGCCAAGTCACAATATAAAAAGTCCTTGGAATGCCACAGGAGAATGAAACTTTTTTTCAGAAATAAGCTTTGAACTTTGAAAATAAAAGCAGATGCACTGTTTTCCAGAACTTGTTCCTTAACAGTTCAAAATGTTACTTCTTTTTTTTTTTTTTTTTAATAGGTAGTAAGTGGTTAAGAGGCGATTAAAGATTAGGGCTTGTCTAACAGGAGGAGTTCTTGCATACTAACTTATCACATCCAAATATCTTCTGCTATTTTTATGGGCACAGAGGAACTTTAAACTGAGCTACTCTGCTGGCCTGAGAACGGTGGTACCATCATATAGATAATAAGGTGCTCTGAATACATCAGAAAGTATAATGATAACAAAAGGAAATTGAGGAGGGCATTAATATGGAGAAAAGGATGTTCTTACACTGTGTATTGGAGAAAGGTATAGGGAGTTGGCCTTGGTGTATAGAGGACTCATAAAAATGTTAAGAAGGGATTTCATTGTGTAATGAGCTCCATGAATAAATTAAAAAGCTCCTCTTGCAGATCCTTAGCAGAGATGTTATAGCTAAAGGATTATTGCCATTGTGACTTAAAGGATCATCAAATACAGAATTAAGACATCTAAAATAACAAGTTGAGGAAGAAGCATAATTTATAAGTTTTTATGCAGCTTCTTGGATACATATTTTTGTATAATATGGGGGGCTGGGGCACCTGGGTGGCTCATTCAGTTAAGCAGCTGACTCTTGATTTCAGCTCAGGTCATGATTTCAGTGTTGTGGGTTTGAGCCTTGTGTTGGGCTCCCCATTCAGAGGGGAGTCTGCTTGAGATTCTCTCTCTCCCTCTCTCTCTGCCCTTCCCCCCCCCATGTATGCTCTCTCTCTCTCTAAAATAAATAAATTTTTTTTTAAAATGGGCTACTTCTACACATTAAAATGAACTATTACATTTTGGTGGTTCCTAGTAATGCACAGTGGTACAAAATGACTATAGCAACTGTTTTTTTTCTTTTTTTAAGACTTATTAGAGAATGCCTGTGCAAGCTGGGGGAGGGGCAGAGGGAGAGGGAGAAAATGAATTTCAGCCAGATCCCCCCTGAGCATGGAGCCCAACATGGGGCTTGATATCATGACCCGGAGATCATGCTCTGAGCCAAAATCAAGAGTCAGACACGTAACCATCTGAGCCACCCAAGTGTCCTGCAGCTGGTTTTCTTTCACCATTGCAGAGTTAAGTTTTCCACGTGCAGATTTGCAATTAATCATGGTGAGGTACAGAGGATTAATATTGCTTCACTTTCCCCCCAGACGCAGTGAGTCATCTACCACATTTTTCTAGCCCTGACCTAGTTAATAAATATGCTATAGTGGAACGTCTGAATTTTGCATATTATTTACAACATGGCCGGCCATCATTTGCATTTGGTACTTTTCTGGTCCAGGAATTAACCAAGAGCAAGACTCCCAAGCAGCTGTGAGTATTTAAAACATAATTTATACTCTTAATAAAAGACATCTCTGTATTTTACATATACATTTGAAAAGTAGTTATATCAGGCTAGTAATTTGGTCGTCTTTTTTTTTTTTCCCCTTCCTCTGTGCGTTTCTGTATATCCCAAGTTTGGGGGATTTAGTGTGTCTTTTGTTAATGGGAAAAAGATAATAAAGATAACATTAAGGGGTACCTGGGTGGTTCAGTCGGTTAAGCACCTGCCTTCAGTTCAGGTTGTGATCCCAGAGTCCTGGGATCGAGCCCTGTGTCGGGCTCCCTGCTCATCAGGGAGCCTGCTTCTCCACCTCCCTGCTCATGCTTTCTCTCACTATCTCTGTCTCTCTCTCATATAAATAATAAAGAAAATTTTTAAAAAAAGATAATATTAAAAATAGTATTTATATCTTTTAAAATTCTGTTGTTTTTTTTAAAATAACCCAGGAGCTTGCCAAATATTAGTAATTATTCTTAAGAGGGAATTGTATAATAAGATGTGAATTCTGTATTTAAGATAACTCATTTTTTATAATTCACTTTTATAAATCACAGAATTGGGAGGAGTATTAGATATAGTCACCTAAATATAGATTTACTTTATTGGTTTGTTTCATAGTTAACAACGTAATGCATTTTAGTGATAAAATATTCAAGTAATTCAGAAGGGTGAAAAATGAAAGATAAAAAGTCCCTGAGTCTCCTATCTTCATTCTGCATAGTAAATAAACATGGCTAATTTCTTGTGCATCTTTCCTTGAAATATGTCTATGCATATAAAACTACTTATGTGATGTCAAACTTTAATTAGCATTAATTTTCTTGGTAGTTTGCATATATACTCATAATTGATAGGATCACAATTTGGCAGTCTTTCTGTAATTCTGTTCTGTGTTCCCTGGATATAGTTGGAAGCAAGAATAATTTGGCCTATGAGTAGGTGTTTTAGGAGAAAGTTAAATATAAGGGAATGGGGGGCTATGGAGACAACGAAAAACTACCAAGAACCTAAATGGATGTGTGCAGGGGCCCAAAACGGGAAGGGGGAGGAAGCTAAAAATCACAGGTGTCTGACACTCCATGTATCACTATGTAATTCCATCTCCTTTTCCTGGTGAGAAACAGTTTTCTGATGTGATTTTGATTCCTTTTTCAGGATCCAGCAAGTAGGCAATGAAGCCTATGTTTTAGGGCTCTCCTCCTTCTACATACCTTCAGTAGGAGCTGCCTGTGTTTGTTTCTTAGAACTGCTTGGCCTCGACAGCCTCAAGCTCAGAGTTGATATGAAAGTGGCCAATATCATTTTGAGCTACAAGTGTAGAAACGAAGATGCTCAGTACAGCTGTATCAGAGAGTCTCTAGGTACAGTACCTTCTCCATCTGGGGTTTGTTTTGTTTAGAGGACAAGGGATGAATAGGGCTAAAGCATCGAATTGTGAGTGGTTGGGGCAGGAAATAATTATGTTCCTGCTTCATCTTTTTCCTGTAGAATGTTTGCACTTTATCTCACTTTCTTGGGCCCTTTAATTAGCTTCTGAAATGGCCCTGGGCCACACTCTTCAAACAGAAGAGTTCCTGACCCTTTCTCTTGACCAGTTTTTATTGTTTGTATTTCTTACAGCTGAAAAACTGTCTAAACTGGCTGTGGGTGAAAAGGCCACCATAGAGGAATTGCTTATCCTCTTAGAAGAAGGTATATGGAACAGCATTCAGCAGCAGGAAATAAAGAGGTTTGTTGAATTGCAGCCTCATTCTCTTTTCCAGCAAGCTTTATTCTTCCAATCTGTATTTGCCTAGTCTTTCTTCCAACACCTCAGATGTTTTTACCAATCCCTTCAGGCCTTCTTACTCAGCCAGCGTATAGCAGACACTCAGTGAATGGACAGTGGGTTTTAATTGCTTCTTGCCATCAGTAAAGGGAGGGTGCAGCTAATTATTCACTCTTTAGAGATAGAGTTTCCAAGAGATAGAGAAGAGCTCTGTCTCCTCCACTGCCCTGCTGGTCAGAGAAGTCTCTTATGTGTTACATGTTGAAATCATTTAAGAAGATATGGGATGGGGGCACCTGGGTGGCTCAGTCGGTTAAGCCTCTGACCCTTGATTTTGGCTCAGGTCATGATCTCAGGGTTGTGAGATCGAACCCTGAATCAGGCTCTGCGCTGGGCATGGAGCCTGCTTAAGATTCTCTCTTCTGTCCTCCCTTGCTCTCTCTCTATGAAAAAAAAAAAAAAAAAAGAGAAGAGGTGGGATATGGATCTCATAAAATTTGATTTTAAGTGAGTTCCTTAATTTTCTCTTGCTAATATGTATTAGTTGATAATGAAAGTTGAGGTAACCATCTTTCCACAAAAACCCCTCTACTTACACATTTATGCCATCTTTCCTCTGTGCTATGCCACCTGGGGTGACCTAGCCACCCCAGACCCTGGGAATGCACCATTCTCTTGTACCTGCTATCAGTGACTCTGTTCTCAACAGTTTCCGGCTATGAGCAGGAACAAGTACTCCCCCCTAACTGAGGAAGCCCAAGCACCTGTCTGGGCTCTGATACTCTAAATTGAATCATGCAAAACAATTAAGCACTCAGGAAATTTCTTGAGTGACTATTTACTCAATTCTCCTAAGGACGGTATATAGCTAGTATAATCTATCTATGGATAGATACTTGGTTGATAAAAGGAATGCATTCTGCCAGTATGCTAAGAAAGCTTTTATCCATTGTGGATGCAAGAGCCCTCTTTTTTCTTTATTTTCCAAAGCAGCCTAATAAACATTTGGTATTTGTTGAAAGGTTTTTAGAGAATATGCTGCAGTTAAATTTGTTTAATTTTTACTAATTTTCCATTTAAACTAAAGCTATATTTTAACAATTTTTTTTTCTCTACTGCCCCAACTTCCAATTACAGGTTATCTAGTGAATCTAGCAGCCAGTGGGCATTAGCAGTACAGTTCTGCAGGCTTCACAATGTGAAACTGAGCACGTCTTACCTCAGAGAATGTGCCAAAGCAAACGATTGGTTACAGTTCATTATTCACAGCCAACTCCATAACTATCACCCAGAGGAGGTAAGCCACCATTTGTTGCCATTCAAGCAGAGGAAATTGGAAGACTTCTGGGAGGACAAATAGTGTTCTTTCTGTTGTGTATACCTAGGCTTTTGTTTGCTATGATACTACTGTTTTTACTAAGATTTCGGTGGGTTGGCATCAGACAGGATTAGTCATTAGTACTAAAAAGCTGAAGGAAGAGTTTTTGTGACTCCAGATTAAATATGGAAATTCACTCCAAAGCAACAAATAACTTTGTAAAATGATATGGTCACTTCCCACACACACAGTTCAGGGTGAGAAAGAACAATTTTGCCTCTGCTTTTCTCTAACATTTTTCAGCTCTAGATGAAATTGGTCTTTATCATCTAATATGTTTTCTAGGTGAAATCTCTTCTTCAGTATTTCAGTCCTGTCCTTCAAGACCACTTAAGACTGGCTTTTGAGAACTTGACCTCAGTGTCTAACTCCAGAATGGACAGTGATCAAGTCTGTAGCAGGGCCCCCCAGGAACTCCAGAGAAACAAAGAAGAGATGGCTGATTTTTTTGAAGTTCTGCTCCAGTGCTCAGAGGAGCCAAACTCCTGGTGCTGGCTCCTAGCTGAAGCAGTGAAACAACAAGCCCCTATCCTTAGTGTCCTGGCCTCATGTCTCCAGGTGAGGATAATGAGAAGCCTAAATTAAGGACCCATAGAGCAATAGAAACAATGGAAAGGGTCAGGGAAGGCTGATAATCAGAGAGGAAGTGGGGTGATGATGACAGTGAGGCTCTGCCATGTTTTCAAGGTCACTGTAACTTTTGTGCTTTTCCAGCTTAGGCTCCGGGCTATCTAGTATACTTCTTTTACCTTAATATTCCGTAACTTAAGTGGTCCGAGCCTTGGTTTCTGGTTGGCAGTCATAGAGAAAGGACCCTGACTCTTGAGCAGAGAAGTGGGATGCTCTAGACAGTACCTTGATCAGCATTTCTGTGGAAGCCAGTCTTGTTTTCTTAGTACTTCTGCAACTTCCGCTCAGTCTCTTGGTCTTTTGATAGGTTACACTCTACAGAACAGTTTATAATAGTCCCTTGGTTGTTCATTAGAGTTTATTCCATGTTTGGAGGCTTTTCAGGCTAGTTTAACCAATTTATTGAGGTAACTTGTTCTAAACAGGAACTCTCTACCCATGTTTGTAGCATTGCTGGGAGCCCCCAAGTCCCTCTGTCAGGTAATCCAGACACAAACGTTATTTTATTTTGAAAAGTTTTCATCCTGTGGTAGGATGCCAGTACTGTTCCTTGTCTCTGTGTTTGGATCATCACGTCTGTGGAGGACAGTGTTGCAGCTGAAGCAACAGAACACATTCGGGGCTCAATGGAAGAATACACGTGGGACCTTCAAGACCTCTCAGTCATCTGGAGAACATTATTAACAAAGCAGAAGAGCAAAACTCTCATCAGAGGTTTCCAACTTTTCTTTAAGGTAGTGATAGTCACTTCATGTCATTCCTGTATCTAAAAGGGTTACTTCAGAATATCCCCATTGACTTTTTCAGTTGTTTTTATCTGTTTTTTTTAGCCAACAACAAATAATGATAACAGAACTACCATTTATTTAGCAAAGAACTTTATATATATTATTTTCATCAGTTCTCACAATAATCCTATTGAAAGATAATATTATATGAGGATGTTATGAAGTGGTAGTATCCTCATTTTAGAGTAATAAACTCAGGCTCACAGAATTTAAGTAACATGCCCAGGGTCTCAAAGTACTTTAGTAAGTAGTGTGTTTATAGTTCAGATCTATACTTTCTCATTCCAAAATTCCTGTCTTCTGACTGAAAAGCTCCCACCAAAATGATAGAAATGCCACAGACAGCAGTAGGTTGGCAGCTCAATGGAGCCCATTTTCCAGGAGTGTATGTAGAGGTACCGTACCTAGCACCATCTAGTGGAATGTCTCCAGCTCTTGGGCAGTGGACCAAGTACAGAACAGACAGAAAACAGACTGTTGAGTAGGTATACCTGGCCTGAATATCTTTTTTCTAAAAGGTAAAAGAAATATAAATTTAACCTCCTTTCTTTTTAACAGATATGATTTAATTCTATGAAACTGTTATTAGTAGTACTTATGTCTTTAACTTCTTATATTGTCATTTTTCATTGAGAAAATACTATTGATTGACTTCACGATTTGTAATTTCATCCAAACTCTTCTTTAACTTCTTATATTGTCATTTTTCATGGAGAAAATACTATTGATTGACTTCACGATTTGTAATTTCATCCAAACTCTTCCTCAAAGGATTCCCCACTACTGTTGATGATGGAGATGTATGAACTGTGTATGTTCTTCAAGAATTATAAGGAAGCTGAAGCGAAACTTCTGGAGTTCCAAAAGAGCTTTGAAACTGTAAGTTGGAACCCTACTGCTCTTTGTCACTGATCTGAAATTGGTTCGAGTGGCCTGTTACCTGCTAGTAGTCAGGCTATGACAGCAGGCGAGTAGCTGATATGTGGCATAATTCAAACTAACTCATTTGTACTGTTCCAGAGGTGGGGAGACAGGACAGGAGTTACAGTGGCCTTGCCTATATACACCTCAGTTGCCAGGCATGACAGAGAAGTTTCATCTAATGTGCTAATTCTGATCAGCGTCCTGAGCTGCAGCCAAGCTCAGTGGGAAAGGGATTAACAGGACCTGCTATGGATGCTCAAGAGGAGTGTGGTGGTTCATGGGCCACATTTTGCCACTCTAAGATAACTCCAACAGTATTGAGTGTGAAAGGTGTTTAATACTGTGTTATTCACTGTGACCGACAGTAATGGATTTTTTCATCAACAGTCCTCATGGTCCCTGTCCAAATGATGCTGAGCCATGTGGTCAATTTCAGGCTGTACCTATTTAGTGCTTGTTTCAGGCCTATTTATCATGTGAAGCTAATTAACCCTATGGAAGAAAAGAGAAAGTCATAAGGAAAGAAGAAAAATGTGCCTTAGTCCTGCTTGGGGTTTTAGCACTTTTGCTTTTTTGACCCCACAAGAACTCTGTGATAAATGAGACAAAACTATATACTGGTTCTACCCAACAAACACATCACAGTGGAACCTTAGTATAGGCTTTTGCTCTCAATCAGTAACCAGAAGGAAGGTTTAAAAGTTACATTATTTGAAAATATTGCATCAGTTATTCAAATATGCCTGAGGTTCCAAAATCACAGCAAATAGGAATGTTAATTTCCTTAGTTTGTCACTCTCCATGGTTGGGGCTCTACCAGATTTCTTTTCTTTCTTTTGAGTTGTTAATTATTTTTTGGAGCAAAATACACATACCATTTACCATTTTAACCATTAAGTGTGCAGTTCAGTGGTGTTAAATACATTCCCATTGTTGTGTGACCATTACCACTATCCATCCCCCTCACCCTTTTCATGTTGTAAAACCGAAACTCTATACCCATGAAACAAGAACTCCTTTATTCCCAGCCCCTGGCAATCACAATTCTGCTTTTTTGTCTTTATGATTTGGCTACTTTAAGTACCTCATATAAGTGGGATCATACAATATTTGTCTTTTTATGAATGGTTTATTTCACTTAGCATAGTATCAAGTTTCATCCATATAGAATGCAGAATTTCCTTCCTTTTAAATGCTGAATAAAATTCCATTGTATGTTGGGGAAAAACAGAGCCTTTCCCCTAAGGTCAGGAACACGGCAGGGATGTCCACTCTCCTCACTGTTGTTCAACATAGAACTAGAAGCCCTGGCCTTAGTAGTCAGACAACATAAAGAAATAAAATTTTGGCATTCAAATCGGCAAAGAAGAAGTCAAACTCTCACTCTTCGCCGATGACATGATACTCTCTGTGAAAAACCCAAAAGACTCCACCCCAAAATTGCTAGAACTCATATAGGAATTAAGCAAAATGTCAGGATGTAAAATCAATGCACAGAAATCAGTTGCCTTTTTATACACTAACAATGAGACAGAAGAAAGAGAAATTAAGGAGTCAGTCCCATTTACAATTGCACCAAAAACTGTAAGATATCTGGGAATAAACCTAACCAAAGAGGCAAAGGATCTATACTCTGAAAACTATAGAACACTCATGAAAGAAACTGAGGAAGACACAAAGAAATGGAAAAACATTACATGCTCATGGATGGGAAGAACAAATATTGTTAAAATGCTTATGCTACCTAGAGTAATCTATACATTCAGTGCAATCCCTATCAAAACACCATCAACATTTTTCACAGAGCTGGAACAAATAATCCTAAAATTTGTATGGAAACAGAAAAGACCCTGAATAGCAAAAGGAATGTTGAAAAAGAAAAGCAAAGCTGGTGGCATCACAATTCCGGACTTCAAGCTATATTACAAAGCTGTGATCATCAAGACAGTATGGTGCTGGCACAAAAACAGACACACAGATCAGTGGAACAGAATAGAGAACCCAGGAATGGACCCTCAACTCTATGGTCAACTAATCTTCGACAAAGTAGGAAAGAATATCCAGTAGTATAAAAGACAGTCTCTTCAACAAATGGTGTTGGGAAAATTGGACAGCCCCATGGAGAAGAATGAAACTGGACCATTTCCTTACACCATACACAAAAATAGACTCAAAATGGATGAAAGACCTAAACGTGAGACAGCAATCTATCAAAATCCTAGAGAAGAACACAGGCAGAAACCTCTTCGACCTCGGCCGCAGCAATTTCTTGCTAGACACGTCTCCAAAGGCAAGGGAAACAAAAGGCAAAAATAAACTATTGGGACTTCATCAAGATAAAAAGCTTTTGCATAGCAAAGGAAACAGTTGACAAAACCAAAGACAACCTACAGAATGGGAGAAGATATTTGCAAATGTCTTTTTTTTTTTTTTAAGATTTTATTTATTTATTTGACAGAGAGAGACAGCAAGAGAGGGAACACAAGCAGGGGGAGTGGGAGAGGAAGAAGCAGGCTCCCCGCTGAGCAGGAAGCCCGATGTGGGGCTCGATCCCAGGACCCCGGAATCACGACCTGAGCCGAAGGCAGACGTTTAACAACTGAGCCACCCAGGTGCCCCGATATTTGCAAATGTCTTAATCAGATAAAGGGCTAGTATCCAAAATCTATAAAGAATTTATCAAACTCAACACCCAAAGAACAAATAATCCAATCAAGAAATGGGCAGAAGACATGAACAGACATTTCTGCAAAGAAGACATCCAAATGGCCAACAGACACATGAAAGAGTGTTCCACATCATTTGGCATCAGGGAAATACAAATCAAAACCTCAATGAGATACCACCTCACACTAGTCAGAATGGCTAAAATGAACAAGTCAGGAAACGACAGATGTTGGCAAGGATGAAGAGAAAGGGGAACCCTCTTACACTGTTGGTAGGAATGCAAGCTGGTGCAGCCACTCTGGAAAACAGTATGGAGGTTCCTCAGAAGATTGAAAATAGAGCTATCATACAACCCAACAATTACACTCCTGCATATTTACCCCAAAGATACAAATGTAATGATCCTAAGGGGCACATGCACCCCAATGTTTATAGCAGCAATGTCCACAATAGCCAAACTATGGAAAGAGTGCAGATGTCCATCGACAGATGAATAGATAAAGAAGATGTGGTATATATATTCAGTGGAATACTACTCAGCCATCAAAAGTGAAATCTTGCCATTTGCAGTGACGTGGTTGGAACTAGAGAGTATTATACTAAGCAAAATAAGTCAATCAGAGAAAGACAATTATCACATGATCTCACTCATATTAAGAAACAAAACAGAGGATCATAGGGGAAGAGAGGAAAAAATAAAACAAGATGAAACCAGAGAGGGAGACAAACCATAAGAGACTTTTTTTTTTTTTTAAGATTTTATTTATTTGGGAGAGAGAGAATGAGAGAGCACATGAGAGGGGGGAGGGTCAGAGGGAGAAGCAGACTCCCCGCCGAGCAGGGAGCCCGATGCGGGACTCGATCCCGGGACTCCAGGATCATGACCCGAGCTGAAGGCAGTCGCTTAACCAACCGAGCCACCCAGGCGCCCCAAGAGACTCTTAATCATAGGAAAGAACCTGAGGGTTGCTGGACGGGAGGTGGGCGGAGGGACGGAGTAACTGGGTGATGGGCATTAAGGAGGGCCACATGATGTAATGAACACTGGGCATTATATAAGACTGATGAGTCACTGACCTCTACCTCTGAAACTAATAATACATTATATGTTAATTAATTGAATTTAAATAAAAATTAAAAGGAAAAAAAAATGAGGATAACGTTTCCTCCTGGGAGGGAGATTGTAGGGATGTGATGTCATCCAGGAGGGGTAATCTAAGCTACTAGTAGAGTTCCATTTGTTCACCTTGTATATTCAGCATCAAAATTGTTTTTATTTTTCCTTAAACAGTGTAGATATATTTTATGCATGCTTTTGCATATATGATCTTTTCCACAATAAAAATAACTTTTAAAATGAAAAAAAATTTCATTTTATGTATATGCCACATTTTGCTATCCATTCCTCTATCCATGAATATTTGGGTCGCTTCCACAATATAATTATGCTACTGTGAACATGGTATACAAATAATCTCTTCGAGATCCTGCTTTCAGTTCTTTTGGGTATTCCTCCCCAAAGTGGAATTGCTGGATGATATGGTAACTCTATCTTTAATATTTTGAGGACCTGTCATACTGCTTTCTATAGAGGCCGTACCGTTTTACCTTGCCACAACAGTATACAAGGTTCCAGTCTCTCCACATCCTCCTCAATACTTGTTTTTAAGTAAGCTCTACACCCAGTATGGAGACCCCAAGATCAAGAGTTGCATGCTCTACCGACTCAGCCAGCCAGGCACCCCATGGTTTTCTGTTTTTTTGATAGTAGTTATCCTAATGGGTATGAGGTAGTGTCTCATAGTAGTTTCGATTTGCGTTTTCCTAATGATTAATGATGTTGAGCATCTTCTCATGCTTATTGGCCATTTGTATATCATCTTTGAAGAAATGTCTATTTAAGCCCTTTGCCCATTTTTGAATTTTGTTGTTTATTTTGTTGTTGTTGTTAGGAATTTTGTATATTATTGAAGTAATCCCCATTGACATATTAATCATATATAATTTGCACATAATTTCTCCCACTCTTTGGGCTGCCTTTTTACTGATGATAGTGTCTTTAGATGCACAATTTTTTTAAGTGTTCATGAAGTTCAATTTGCCTATTTTTTTCCCTTGTTCCTTGTGCCTTTGGTGTCCTATCCAAGAATTTATTGCCAAACCTAGTGTTGTGAAGCTTTTGTCCTGTGTTTTCTTCTAAGAGTTTTTATTGCGTTAGGTCTCATATTTCGGTTCTTAGCCCATTTTGAGTTAATTTTTGTGTATGTGTTAGGTAAGGGTCCAGCTTCATTCTTTTGCATGTGGAAATTCAGT